GCCGCTCTCCGCTGTAGATCTACAGAGTTCTGCCGATCAGGTCCCCTTGACTCCTCGATGCCTTCAGATTTGATCGACACGTCAACGCCGCTCGACACCTCCTCCTCAGTGTGGCCCTCCTCATCTTTCTCGATGCCTCAGATTCCATCGACGCCTTGACATCTCAGATCCCTTCCTCGACACCTCGACACCTCAGATCGGTGCCTAGACATCTCGATGCCTAAACGTGCTCAAGTCATGGATTTGAATAAATTGAAGGGGTCGATATCCAGAATTTCTTCAAAATCATCAAAATCTTTTGCCTCTAAATGCAAGAAACCTCCTTCTTTGTAAGTAAATTAGCCAAACTTTCTAACACTGTTTATAATTTATTAATATGCTTATGCTAACTTCCTAACAATGTTTTGGAAATGAGTGCAGTTAGCATGCAAATTGGACTAACTCTAGCTAACTTGGACTAACTCAGCTAACTCTTGTCAAACAAAAAAAATATTTGTGTTAGGACGTATGAGCTTAAGTGTTTGGTTGATAGGAGTATGCTTTTTTTGGTTCTCTATGAGTTTAAATGGTATTAATATGTTCTGTTGAGCTTTTTAGCTATTTTCTCTTCTTGCAACTGTTACAAATGAAACTTCACCGAAAATTCATCACATTGTTAAAGAGCTTAGTTTCACTTTTGCTAATTTCAACTTTCTCATATTTGCAAAATATTATCATATTTTTCCCTATAGCACAGCTAGATAGTTAAAGGTTATATGTTGCAAATGAAACTTCGCCGAGAAAGAGTTTAGTTCCACTTTTGCGAATGTCAACCTTCTCATATTTGCAAAATATTATCATGTCTTGCCCTATAGCACAACTAGATAGTTAAAGGTTATATATTACATTTAATTATTAACGTTCCAAATTTTAGTTCTCTTGTAGAGCTATGATAACACAATTCAGGATTCCTTCCAATCTTTGTTATTTTCGAGATTTAATTGACAAGCGTATAGTATTGGATGAGAAACATACGGACGCCCTTGGGAAGACACCTTTTCACAGCTTCCTCTTGATACCCTCATCCTTAAGCAATTAGTAAATAGCAATTGATTGCTTGATTCAAAAATATAATCCTGATAAATGCTTATTTATGATTGGAATAAAGATTATGTGTTTGGTATAGAGGATGTTCACCGAATTGTCGGTTTGCCAAAGGAGAGAATTCCGATAAAAATGAGTGGAACAACGGCTAATACAATCCTTACCCAATTAGTAAAGAATTATAAGACACTCAAGCAGAAGAAGCGTAGTAGGAGGAAGGGCAAGAAAAAAGGCGATGAGGAAAGGAAGGGAGTGATCTGGGGGAAACGCGATAGAATGTCTGAGTTGGTTGTAGATATGGCTAAAAAAGACCATATAACTTGTGTGAAACTTATAGTGGCTTTTATTATCAGCCTCACATTATGCCCATTGACATGTAGGACTTGTACCTTGTGGGTGTTTAGATATGCAGAGAATTTGTCCACTTTGAAGAATTATAATTGGTGTCATGCAGTGTTTACTTTTTTTACAAATAGATGAATAAGGCGAATAAGTCTATTAGTATGAGGGAATTGGGAGAACGGTCATACGCT